ATGGCTAACTTTATTGTGTATAGTGTCTAATTCTTTTCTGTAGTACCTGCATTCTGAAAAAGATAATACGCCAGTCCATCAACATCTTTTTTTTCTCTTTTAAATTTAGTGTGCTCGCTTTCTTAGCCCATGTACTCTGCCTCAGGGCCCCTGAGTCAGGAACTGTCAGGGACACCTTCAGCGTTAGATCTCAGCCAGCCTGAGCGAGTCTCCTCTCAACACGGCAGCTCGCACCTGAGCCACAGGAGGCACGACAGCCATATCGCAGGCTGATTCAGAATGCTCAGCAGGGGCCCATCCAAGCCCTGCCCAGTACATACTATGCCTCCTGTGACCTCCGTCCCCAGAAGGAGCTGTGCTGCGCCCTCTGAGGGTGGACATGCCACTGCAGGGAGCCGGCAGCCGGGTGACTGCTGTGTTGTCCTGCAGTGCTCAGCCAGCTGTGGTGGTGGCGTACAGCGGAGGACCGTGCAGTGCCTGGCGGGGGCCCAGCCAGCCTCTGACTGCCCCCTGCACCAGAAGCCCGAAGCCTCCCTGGCCTGCAACACCCACTTCTGCCCTATTGCAGAGAAGAAAGGTGAGCTCAGGGACCCTGGGATGCCCTTTGGGTGGGTGGGTGGAGGCTTCGGAGAGTTCCCGAGAAGCCTGGAGGAGTGGGGTGCCTACTGGCTGGGGAGCTCAAGAGTGGGGACCCTCACCTCTTTCAGCTTTCCAGTGACATAGTCACACACCCTGTCATCCTCGGGCCTCCCCAGAAAGTGCAGAGGTGGTTGTGGCCTCGATCTAGCCTTGCAAAGCACAAGACTTCCATCTTTAATCAGTGATATGTGAGGTGCTTAAAGAAGAGAACGGGAAAGAATACATCTTTTCCTGCTGCGTTAGACCAAAGCCTATAGGGCGGGTGTACTGAGCACAAGAAGCTTCTAAACTTGCAGGAACCTTCCAGAAAGGTTTTCTGGAAAGGAGTAAGTTCCATGGGCCCCAGTTAGATCCAAAGAGCTGCCGTCCTTTAGCAGCTTTGAAGCAACGATGAGTTTGCTCTTGTCTGCCAAGCGGAGACACTGGCGAGCGGCAGCAGCCATGAGAGAGCACCGACTGATGTGGAGTGTGCTTGTTTCCAGGCGCCTTCTGCAAAGATGCCTTCCACTGGTGCGGCCTGGTGCCACAGCACAGCATGTGCAGCCACAGGTTCTACGGCAAGCAGTGCTGCAGGGCTTGCTCCAAGTCTAATCTGTGAGGCAGGTCCGCCCAACAGCGGAGAAGAGCCACAGGAGCCAGGAACATCAGCACGAAGGATCTGCACAGCACACGCTGGGGTACTCCTAACGAAGATCAGAGCCACAAGAGGGAACACAGGGCTGGGCTCTGTGGCCTGGAGTTTGTGGGGAGCAGGGAGCAGAGGTAGGACTGTGCCCACACCAACACACACTCTCCTGTCCCATGGAAATGTGGGTCGCTCCTGCTTGAATGCAGAGTGGGAGAGCTACACTGAAGAGTGCTCGCAGCCACACTCAGCCAGGCTTGCAGTTCCACCATGCCAAGTCTAAAGGACAGCAGAGTGGACTTGCTACATGCTAAATGTCTGGTGCTTTGTAAAAAGAAAGAAAAGCCACACAAAATTAGGAAAAAAAGCAAAATAGCTGCCACTAAGTAGGCTAGCCTCCTCCCAAAAGCCTGGGAGGTCCCCACCATCGGGGTGGGTGAGGTGAAGGGGTTGGGGAGCCCCAGGACGCTTTTCCAGGCTGGGCCACAAGAGCCCGGGTCCTTCTGACTTAGAACTTCGCTTGTGCAGCCTGGAAAATAAAACCCCTGATGAGGTGCTTCCTTCCCTCCAGGCTAATATGCCAGGGAAGGCTTTCTAGTTCATGTTTTTTTCCTTCTCAGTTACTTACCAGTGAGTATTGCTCTTTAATCCCACTTCCCTGCTTTCCTGTCTGAAATAGTGAATCAGAAGTTCAGGCCAAACAACTGTCACACTGAGAAAGCGTCAGGGCCACGGGACAGCTGACAGGGTCAGAGCCTTCTGCCCTGGGTTTTATTGCTACCCAGCCGAGGGCTTCTCAGTTCTTAAACCTGTCCTGTAACTTTGGCGGAGAGCAAAGGCCAGCAGCCTCCACACAGGGCCTCCCACGCCTCCCTGTCACCATGGGTGCTCATTTCTTCTCTCCCTGTCTGGCATGTGGCACCTTTGCAGATGGGCACCTGGATATTTATATTTGCTGGATTTTATAATAAATTTTATATTGTATGATGTGCTTCCGAGCTGCGTGCTGACCCCTCCCGAGATTTGCTGCTTCTATGATGGCTGGGGAATGAATCTCAAAGAGGGAGAGATGGGGCTCTTCAGTGTCACAGAAAGAGCTAGAACTAGACTACAGCAAAGCACGTCCCGGGGGGGCGGGAGGACAGGTTCAGGGAGGACAGCTGGGGATGGGTCACCATGACTTTGTGCCACATTCAATGAAAGGGAAGCTGCTCTTCTGGGTACACTGGCACACACCAGTGACTGCAGTACTCAAAAGGCTGAGGCAGGAAGATTGCCTTGAGTTGAAGGCTAGCCTGAACTACCTAATCAGACCCTGTGGAAGGAAAGAGGGAAGGGGGGAGGGGGGAGGGAGGAAGGGAAGAGGGAGGGAGGAGGGAGGGGAGAGAAGTTGATGGAGGAAAGAAGGGAGCGAAGGCAGGTGGGCAAGGCAACAGGGAGGGCAAGGGTGCAGGCTGCACTTGATCTTGCAATCCCTGCTGGTGTTACGGTCCTTTCTCTAGAGAAGCAAAACCAGCAGAGGATGAGACAGGAAGTAGCGTATTTAAGGAACAGCCTCGCAAGACTGTGAAGGCGGGCAGTCGTGGTATCTGTAGGAAGAAACCGAGGAGGGAGTTGACACTGCTGTCCTGGACCTGAATTCCATTGCACAGCAGGCTAGAAGCTGGTGAGTTTCCATGTTGCCCATGTGAGGCACACTCGCTTCTCCTGGAGCTCCGGGTTGCTTTAAGGGGCCTCACCTGATTAGCCTGAGATCCGAGAACAGTGCGAGAGGACCCCCTTTTCCTAATAGCCACTGATGGGGTGTTCACTCATTTACAACATCCCTGCTCCCATCCAGCCTGCTGCTGTCCGACGGTCACATAGCCTGGCCATATAGACGCATGAAATTTAATGCAATGCCACCCCACCCCCTCAGATTAGAGTCGACCAGCTGTTACCATGTCCCCATGAGAGCCATTGCTGCTCCCCCGGGGAGGTGTCCCCGGACCCCACCGAACCTCAGCTACAGGAGGTAGAGCTCTGTGTTAGTTGCTTCCTTATCCCTGGGACACAATCTGACATCCCGACTTGGAGGAGGAAGGAGGAAGGAGAGGCTCAATTTGGTTCCAGGTTTCAGTCCCTGGAGGGCTGGCCCCAGTGCGGGAAGGGCCTTGTGGAAGGCCCTGCATGGAGGTAAGCTGCTCACACGTAGTGGTGGCTGGAAGCAGAGAGGGAAGGGAGGAGCCAGGGAGCGACAGCTGTACCCTCTAGGTCACATCCTCAAGTGCTTGCCTCTAACCAATCCCTACCTTTAAACGGTAAATTGAGCTGTGCATTCATGCGTGGAGGAATGCGCCAATGAGCACAACACCCCACGATCCGATGGTCTTCCAAATTTTCTACTGCTGAACATGAGACTTTGGGGAGAAGAGGGCAGATCTGAACCCTAACAAGTTCTAGCGCAGCTGGCCTGGCTTGTGGGCGGCCCAGCTGCCGCCACAGCACCACAGCCTCATGAGCACCTGGGCTGTGCACGGAGACAGCTTCACCCAATGGACAGAAAGCCTGGGGTCACAACTAGGAAAAGGAACTCTGCAGGACTCTGGGGACTCGGCAGCACGTTCCAAAGCACACATTCACTAGGCTCTTGTGGTCCTCCTGCTCCACAACTAGTGCAGCTCAAAAGCTTCTGTCCAAAGACAGGACCTTCAGGAAAGCATCCTCATTCTTCTACTAGCAGATACCTGCTGCCCTGGGGCTGTGAAGGAACGAGGGATGGTTGGCACAGGTCGCACCCACAAGAACCATAAG